TACCAGTTTGACCGATGTAATTGCTTTTTCTTTTGGCTCTTGTTGTTTTTAATATATTTGTCCAAGTTTTTGTTTGTTCTGAAAACTGGTGTTATCTTTAATTATTAAGATATAAAACATCATTATAATTATCAACATTTACCTTATAAATTGATTCATTACCAAATCAAAGCTGTTTTTGAATGATTATCATTATCTCTATTAAATTCGAAATTCATCATAAAAAGAATGATGATGGTCTAGAATGTGAAATATGTACGTAGAATCTGTTATTCTATTATTAGAAGCAATTTTGTGTTCTGCTATACGTTTGACAAAAGTTCTACCAGTTGGACCGATGCAATTGCTTTTTCTTTTGGCTCTTGTTGTTCTTAATATATTTGTCCAAGTTGTTGTTTGTTCTGAAAACTGGTGTTATTCCTTTCTTTTGTATTTGTTTGGCTATTTTTGTTGATAGCTTGCTTGCTATGTAATCGAGCACAAGGTACTAGGTTTTTTCTCTGGTGGTGTAAATAATAATTTTAGGGCTTTCTTATGTGGATTTTGATTTAAAATTATATTTATGGTATGAATCCCCTGATATGGGACCATATTTTAGTATTTTTTTTAAAAACCTTTGTCAATTATTTCACGATCTCTTTAATATAGTACTTAATAAGATTGTTTTTGATACCATCAGTTCCTAACAATTTTCATTTTCTAGATTGCTATTTGTACCTCTTCACTAGTTATATCTTTGAATTTCTCAATATCTGCGTAATTTTAATCTTTTTCTTTGATGTACATATCGGTATCATTGTGTAGATTATCGAAGTGCTTTATCAAGAATTCAGATTTTATTCTTCTTCTTACGGTGCCTATCCGTTTCGGATGTTGGCGATCAACATGGCTATCCTAACTTTGCTTGCTGCTATTCTGAATAGTCCGGTTGTCGATGTATTTTCTTTCTTAGGTTTTGAAGCCAAGATATTCTTCTTTTCTCTGGTCCTCTCTTTCCAAATACCTTGCACTGAAGAATCAGTTGCAACAAGCCGTATCTTTGTTCATTCCTCATAACATGGCCCAGGTATTCTAGTTTGCGCTCTTTGATGGTGTTAACAATCTCGCATTCCTTGCTCTTTCTACGTAGGACCTCAATATTAGTCACACGATCCACCCATGAAATTCTTAAAATACGTCTGTAACACCACATCTCGAATGCCTCGTGTTGTTTTAAGGAAGCTTCGAAAAGCGTCCAGGCCTCTACTCCGTATAAAAAGGTAGAAAATACATAGCATCCAATGAGAGAGATTTTGGTAGCAAGTGGTATAGGTTTTATAACATAAGTATATTTATAATATCAATAACAATTAAGCAACAAATAAAAACAAATAGTATATTACGCTTTAATTTAACAAAATATAGTAACACAGCAAATATAATATATAATATATACACAGCATATAAGCAAATCCTTTAGAAAACATTTTATAAATCAAATTTTAAAGCCAAACTTTCCAAATAATCATTTTTGAAACTTCTGTATGTAGATAAATAGTTGGTACTAAAATTAAATAGGTTTGGAGCAATATGGTTTAAAATAAGAATACAGAAGGACGTTAGCAAGATACCTTGAAAAGCACACATACTCTTTTGTGCCGAGGGGCATGTTATTTCTTAGCCCGATCATTGCAAACTTAAAGAATAATAACATAGTGGTTATAAATCGAAGGACGGAGAGTTGGTAGAAAGCAGGCCTCTTGGTTGAAGAATATCAGGGAGTGTATAGGAATAAGGAAAGCTGAGCAACTCTTTAGAATAGCTCGAGACAGAGGCAGTTTCGCCATGTTAATCGCCAACGTCAAGGGGACTTGATAGGGCACCTTAAGAAGAAGAAGGTTATATCTAGTAAATGATCTGTCGTCTGGATTTCTCCCTGAGCACAAAGGTTATCTACCTGAGGCATAGTATACTAACCATTGTAATTTTTACAACGCCAATCTAGTTATTGTAGGATATTGTGGAAGAGGTACACTCGTATCTCTCGCCCGCTTATCTGTTTTTACATTAGTGTATATCAAACAGTTTTACAAGTACAGTTACATTATTAGTAAAGTGAACTAAATACGAAAAATAGAGACATGCACAGACCTCTCATGCAGTGGGAGTTAAAAGCTAAGTTGCAATTGTACTATTAAAGAACTCTGGCCAGATGAATCGGATAACAATTCTGATAAATTGTAAATTGGATCTTAAATAGAAGATGTCGTTTTAGTAGCATTCAGTTCATGTGAATCAGAGTTTGAACCGTCAATCGAAAATGACTTAGATTCCGACCGTAACGTCCCGTCCAGTAGTAAGAAGAAAAAGAGACGTTTCTAAAAAGAGTAATGAGTTGGAAAAATAGATTACTTCCATATTTGAAAGTAAAGAAAGTAATGGCTCCAAAATCGACAAGGAAAGTAGATGTCCTGCTTAGCAAAATCCTTCTAAGAAACAGGAATATTCAGAAATTTCAGCTAAGGAGAACCGTCAAATCTAAAAAGTAAACATGGACACAGGTGGTACTCTCAACCAAAGGTCGCTACTAAAACTCCAAAAAGTAACTTTGTTTATTTTGTTCAAGGTCCCTCTAACAAAACAAAGGAAGCACAAACTCCCTGAAATGCTTTTTATTGTTATGAATTCGTCTCTGGCAAAAATTGTAGGATATGCAAATGTGGAAATTTTTGTTAGGGCACAAAAATATAAAGTTAAAGATCTTACAAACTTAAAAGTGAATATTGACGAATTTCATGCACTTCTTGGACTACTCATTTTTTTTCTGCCCAAAAAGACAATCACTTAACGACAAGACAAATGTTTGATGACAAAATTTCTGGTGAGATATTAAAAGCAACTACGGGGCGGGAAAATTTGAATTTTTTATAGAATTTTTATGTTTTGATGATAAAAAATCTAGACCAGACAGAAAAGAAACATACCTATTAGCAGCCATTCGTAAAATATGAAATACTCTTATACAGAACTGCAAAACGTCCTATAAGCCTGGATCATACCTAACAATGGAGCAAGCAAAAAAGCAGTTGCTGGCTTTTAGGGAAAGATGTACTTTCCACATGTATATTCTTAACTTCTTCTTCTTCTTCTTCTTCTACTTTTTGTAGATCTTTCGATCTGTTTAATTCTGAAGCTGCCTCTGGTTAATTTCTTGGGAGGTAGATTGCCAACTATCCCTCCATCTTTTAGGTGGTCTTTCGGGGGGTCTTGAACCGGGCGGATTGTTTTCTAGGGCAATTTTGGGGAGTCTATTCTCATCCATTCGTCTTACATGGTTGTACCACATCCTCTTGCGCTGCCTTCCCCATCTTCCCCATATTCTTAACAAGTCAGCCAAATATAGACTAAAAAATATAGTACCTAATGCTATGTGACGTAGGTACCAAATATAATGCAGAATTGTATTTAGCAGAGGAAACTAAAACCAATGGACTACCTTTAGAAGAATATTATGTAAAACTCAAGTAACTCAAGTAAACCATAGATAATTGGTTAACGTTAGAACCGCTAGCATCAGAGCTCTTCAAACCTTCTTACAATTTAACTATAGTTGGTAGTCTACGGCAAAATAAAATAGAAATACTTCCTTAGATGATAAACCTAAAAAATTGTGAAATTGTTTATTCCGTATTTTGCTTCGATGGTAAAAAATAATGGTATCTCATAAGACAAAAGTAAATAACTATGTGCTACTTCTACCGAAAATTCACATCGATTCAGTCGAATGCGATCCAACTTTTAACCCAGATATCATTAAATTTTATAATGCAACCAAGTACGGAGTAAACATATTTGCGGAATCGTAAACATCTCCAGAAAAACAAGAAGATGGCCACTTAGCCTACTTTATGGCATAACAAATGTAGCTTGCATAAACTCTTAAATATTTTATAATTATAACCAACAATGATAGCAGAAAAAAAATATCACCAAAAAAAAATGTATGATCATTTTTTTTAACAACTGACGAAACCTTGGCTACAGCATCATGTAAATTGGACAATTTTGAACCTCTCGGTAAAGATGCTTATGGAAAATATTTTAAATCTGGTGCCGCGGCAAAAAAGAATATGCTCTAGTGTCAAAATGTGTCATGTGTCAATTTTGTCAGTCTAAACAACATCGAATGACTACCCATCATTGCGAGCTCTGCCGACGTCCATTTTGTTGTGAACACGCGCTCTTTGTTGTCAGCAGTGTAGTTCTAAAATGTCGAATTTTTTTTTGTGATTTTCGTGATTTTAGAAACACCTCTTTGTTCAAAATAATTTGTTAAATTAAGATAAATAAAATACTTTTCATTGACCAATGTTTTTTTGCTCAGCGTAGTACATTTTACGATGGTTAGTGTAAATAAAGGTAAAATTAAGGTTAGTATTCTAAGGTTAATCAATCAGAATAATTTTAACACCAAATACGTTAAAGTGCACATAGCAAAATACGTACAAATTTTATTAAATTAAGGAAAGTGGTTTGTACAAGAGATCTGAAGCTTGATTTAAAAGTTAGATTAGAATGGTATTGTATTTTCTCGACACACCTACGATTGGACTTGTCACAAACATTGGCACAATGAGAAGAACACATAAGAGTATGGAAATAATATAAAATAAAAGGCTGCAATACCTGGGATATATTACGTGGTTAAATTAGTTATAAAAGTAAAAATCAAGCAATAGAGAAGTCTGGGAAGAAGACAAATCTTATGGCTGTGTCTGTTGGGGTACATGAGAATACCATAGATGCTCTATATCTGATGACTTGAGGCCATCCCCATCCGATAAAATGGTAGGCAATCCTCTTTGTAAAAATAGCACCTAAAGAAGAAAAAGAAAGGCTGCTACTAACTATCTATTCAATATGAACCAAAATAATATTTTACGAGGAAATTTCATTTTTATTTAGAGCACCACAAGGAAATTTCAGTGTTGTCAATATTGATTTTGGTTAGTAAACATAATTTATTCATAATAAGGATAATCAGTCCCACCGTCCTCGTCGTAGTCATAATAGTCATTTCTTACAGGCGATCTTCTAATGGAATGAAACAGGTTTGAAAGAAAATTGCCAAACATCTGCAAATACGAAGGTGGCCTACGACGACGGCCATTATATCGTAATCTATTATTTCGTTGGTTTTTAACTTGACGTTGCAAAGTAGATCTACCACTATCGTAATAATTATAGTTATTTATATAAACAAAATATGGATTGTTTATGTAAATATCTTGATGACTCTTAGAATCGCCTTTTGATGGAAATGAATTAAGTTTTTTGAAAGAAGATGAGTTTGTATCATTTCGTTTTGGTACCGGTAAAGTTACTGGATTTGGCAAAGTTACAGTACTAATTTCACCAACTGTTTCATTTTTTGGTATATCAGTTGTCAAATTCTGTTCTACTATTACGGTAGAATTCCAAATATTGCTTTCAGTAGATGTATTTTTCTCTATAGTTGTATTTGTTGTTTCTATTTTACTTGATGTCGTAGGTATATCTGTAGCTTCTGTTGGGATTTCACTGGTATCAACATTTTCTACTATACTGCCATTCTGATTGTTTGTCTGGTTTGTTGCTGCCGAAAGAATAGTCTTAAACTTTGAGAAGAAGTTAGAAAAATCTGAATTTGTAGGAGTAACTTCAGTAGTTGTTTCTGCGCAATCTACAATACAAAAAAAATGTTTAAACATTTTATACTAAATGTATAAAATAAATAACTATTAAACAAACTATACAATCAATGGTAAAATTAATTTTATAATAAAAAACTTGTCTAAGTTGCTTACTCAAAGTGTCAAATGTACAGAGAAAAAACAAGTGAAGTACAACGAAATTGACCTGTGCCGTGGTGCAACGAGGTCTGTTACTATGCTGTTAATATATTTAAAAAAATCACACACAGTAACATCGAGCAACCTTAAAAAACAACGTAAAAAGCTAGATATATTCTGATAAATCAATGAGTTCTAAGAACCGTATATCTCGCCAATAAATGAAAGCACTACATCGTCAAAGATTTGGAACAAAGTTCGTAATATAAAAAATACTTCATTTATCATACAAAGAATGAAATTATTAAAATTTTATGAAACAATAAATATAACTGTTCAATTTTTTACATGCGAAAAACCATTTTATTATTTGCTGTATTAATTCCCATCAATCTCTACCTCAATTTCGACGCTTACTATAACTCCACACCATTAGAAATTCAGAGAGTTGTAAGTTAACAAAAAAAAAAAAACTCTCATTTGCCTGTTCACTAGTGCTTACAACAATAGTCAACTTTCTTTTTCGCTTATAGTTACGCGAAAAATACCGCGAACCTTCTTTTAAACCGTATACAGGCGCAAATGTGCTGTATTTCGTGATCTCAGTATTAGTACCGAGAGACACGTGTTGTGAAAGTCTGTAAATGCCGCGATGTGTGTGCAGAAACAGTATTGCTAACACTTTTGAAAAACTTGATTTGCAATTATCTGTATAATCATTTACTACTACTGCTACTATCGGTTTACAGCGTTCTCCGACTCCTTCCGACTCCTAACCGCCATTCTTCTCTATTCAACCATAGGTCTGAAGGGATTTCTCTTTCCTCTAGTTCTTTTTCAATTCCCTCTCTCCAGCTTCTTCTCGGTCTTCCTCTTTTCCTTCTCCCTTGTGGTGTCTACATCAAAATCTGTTTTGGAATACTGTCATCTGGCATTCTCTGTACATGGCCGTACCATATTAACTGTTTTGTTTTTATGTCATCAACTATCGTATCATTTCTCGTATTCTCTCATTTGGTATCCGATCTCTTCTTGATTTGCCTGCTGCTCTTCTTCAGAAGTCCATTTCTATTGCTATAATCATTTACTACATACCCTAATTTATTTTAACTAGCACTGTGTAATACAGTCCTCATACACTGAATTCAGACATGAGAAAGGTACTTGAGAAACAACCATTTAAACTAAACGGCACGAAAATTAATAGAAGATTATAATATATGGGATCAAGAAGTAAATAAAAAGAAAATCAAATACATGTGCATTGAAGTAAAACAAAAAGATGTTATTTAAGACAATAACACCACGATAAAGCATTGCTGTGACTACAACTATCTAGGTATCATTATTTCACAAGATGAAACATTGGACAAAGCCCGAACAGAGAGAAATAAGTCAGGAAGAAAAGCCATCACAATGTTAAGCTGCATTTTATGGGACCAATCCATCAGCAAAGAAAGTCAAAAGAGGATATATGAGACTATAGTAAAAGGTATTCCTTTATATAGTTGTGAGGTATGCCCACTAAAAGAAAGAACACTGGCAAGTGATCTAGAAGAGAAATGATTACCAAAGAGCGCATTAGAGAAATGTTGGGAATCATACGAACAATCAAAGATGACCCAACAACAAAACAACTTATCTGGTTCGGACACATACAAAGAATGAATGAACAACGAAAACCAAAAGAAATATTATGGCAACTATGGGAAAACAACATAATAAAAGTAGACTATCTGACCCTATTGAAGCTGGCAAAGACATACGACGGGAAGATTCCCTCAGTTCTCTATTGTTCAATTCCAAATGAAAGAAAAGCAACTTAACAATAATAATCTGCTATGCAGACGACGGAATAATATAATCAGACAAGATGCATGGTAATAACAGCAAATTTACTGTAAATTGTAGCTTTATGTAAATAAACTAAGATGAAACTGGAAAGGTTGGATAGTAGAACAGGTGATGAAGTTTAAATATCTAGGAATCATATTATTTACCACGGAACGCTCGAAATAAACGTGATAGATCAAGTGAATAGAGCAAACAGAGCCGCAGGTTGCCTCAATAAAACAATATAAGGAAATAAATATAGGAAAAGAAATGAAAGACAGAATTTACAAAATATTCAACAGATCAATAGTGACATAAATATGCGGCAGACATATGACCTGAGGCAGAGAAGAGAAACAACAGAGATGAAAACACTTCGAGAAAAATTTATATTAAAACACTATGGGGCAGAGCTAGAAGTGCAGATATAAAAATAGAAAGACGATCAGTAGGAAGACCACGAAAACTATGTAATGAAAACTTAAAAATTTAAAAACAGGCGTGTTTACATAAAAAGAAGAAGAAGAATAGTATTTTACGTTAAAACGTATACTGGGAATAGGAGGCACAAGGAAATACTTTTTCAATCCAATAAAACAAACACACTGCTACTTGTTAAGAGGTTATATAAAATATCAAGCAGAAAATAGGATCATAATATTGATAAAATTGTGATGAAGGAAACCAAATAGACCACAGACTTTAAGGCTAATATAAGAATAAAGTGATGAAAACATAATTAAGGTGGTAGCATATAATCGATTTTAGAGCACTGAAATACCTACCTTAATTTATACTTCTGTAAACAAATATTTGTTTGTAAAAGACCTCAACTAAATGTCATTTTATTTAACCAGGCATAATTTTAAACCGATACCAAAAACACAATATCCACTTTATACTGCAATACTTACATCTTGTACAATACACTAAACTAACAAATAAAACTAAAAGTAGTTTATATGCCATTACGTGATTTAAAACTAATTTTTTTTTCAATTACTTGTAGAATTTTATCTTAGAAATGCTATCAATGAGAAATAGCTTTCTTAATGTGTTGTCCATAGTTTAATTTATTATTAAGGTAAATTTCTTAACATCGTGTCGATCATTGTTGTTTACTAACAAAGTGGAGAGTTACACTAAAATGAGAAAGTAACGCTCAAAATCATCGCGGAATTTTATTTCAATAAATTAATGGTTTATTCAATTCTAAAATTACTAGCAATGAATGAAATGTTTAAAGGTTTGTTTGTTGTAGTTTACTCACTATACAAGAATAAATTTATTTAAAGTATAACTCTTTGTTCATTTTTAATAGGAAAATAATTATCGCTTTTATATTAATAAATATATTTTATTTGTATAAGCTACAAATTCATATAAAATACTATAAAATACAAAACATTATTAAATACAAATAAATATACATAGCCTTAAAGTCCGAAAGAGTGTTTATAATGTAATTAGTGATTTTCGCATGGATATATGTTTCGATATATATTTTCTATATAACATTGTTTTATCATCATCAACTAGCCTCTAACGTCTACTGCTGAACACAGATCTCTCGCATATTTTTCCACTTAGTCCGATTTTGCCATCTGAATATAATTTGTAGTCACTCTTTTTAGTCATCTGTCCATGTCGTTGGGGGTCGACCTCTATCTCTGTTAGCTTATATTCGGGGTCTTCAATCCAAAATTCTTTTTGTCTACCATCATCAACTGATCTTGCTACATGACCTGTCCAGTTCCACTTTAGTGTTGTTATCCTTTCAATAACGTCTTCTTCTTTGCCATACACCAAAGTGCGTAGGCGACGATCTCATTACTAGAATTCTGTTCTTGGCGGCGCGACACAGCTCGCCTGTATTGTGTATTTCTGTCCATTCTTTAATATTCCTTAACCAGGATAATTGTTTGCGGCCGGTTTCTCTCCTAACTTCGATCTTCCCTTGTAGGATTAACTGTGGTATTTCATATTTTGCTCCTCTCAATATATGCCCAAGGTAACCAATCTTGCGTTTTTTAAATAATTCAAAGAGTTCTCTTTCCACGCCGACTCTCTTAAGAACGCCATCGTTTCGAATTCTATCCACCCAAGGTATGCGCATCATTTTTCTTAATGACCACATTTCAAATGCTTCAAATTTGTTGATAGATGTTTTTTTCAAAGTCCACGTTTTCATGCCATAAAGCTAGATGGACCATATGTAGCACTTGACCATTCTGTAGCGTATTTCTAAATTTAGGTTTTGATTACATAGGAGCGGTCTGAATTTCACAAAAGCCTGTCATTGCCATTTGTATTCGGGTTTTTATCTCGTGTTGTGGATCCGATTGGTCATTGATTGTGGTGCCAAGGTATTTAAAAGTTTTCACGCATTTTATACGATCGGCACCTATGCATATTATCGGGTTTTCTAGAGGGTTTCTGCTTATGACCATATATTTCGTTTTTAAAATGTTGATTTTGAGGCCATATTTTTTATCTATGCTATTCACCGTATCAAGTAATAACTGCTGATCTTCCAAATTATCAGTTATAAACACTGTGTCGTTCGCATAGCGTAGGTTGCTAATTGGTAACAACTTAATTACCACCTTTATTAAAAATTCTGGAAAGTAATACAGAAAAACACTAAATAAATAAAAAGAACCAGGTGAGATTAATTGAATACTACTAAATATTGTACAAAGCAATAATTCAATAAAAAGCAGATACTGAAATTCAATGTGTCTCTAGCCGTATTTCATCCCGATCTCAACATAAAATCAGTAAATTAATTCCCTTTGAAGGATTTTTCATCTGCGTATTTTGCAGTAGTGTATTTTAATAAAACCTCTATTCGATAAATGAAATTTCCGATTAATAATCATTTGGTTTTATAGTAAATGTACGGTATGGTTGAACCGAATGAAAATTGGATAGTGTCTCGTATGTAATAATAAGATCATTCGATGAAACAAGTAGTAATCGGTGAAACATGCTCATTGAAAATGTTGCACACGAGATATGCAACTATTTTTATTGATCATTATACTGGAATGGGTGCAAATAGAGTACCGCGATAACGTGTTGAAAATTGCATTAACTGTGCATTCTCTCATGTATAATGTATTTTGTGTTTAGAAATAGCGCTTCAACTTAAAATACATTTTACTATAGGCAAGCAGTTTACGACCATCAGCAGAAAATAAAATGTCTAATTTCTTTGAAGTTCCAATGAAGGAAATCTTTTTTATTCGATTCTTTATATTTTTTTATATCCAAATGTATTTATGTTTCTTTTTCCCAGTGGATCGGCAATTGTAATTAACAAATAACTTAAAAAAACCTACAATTTCACCGAATCACTTCGGATTAAATTTTTTCTCATTTCAATAAACATTTTTATAGGGTAATCGCTGTAAACATGCTTTCTTTTCCAAATATTTGCAATTTTTGTTGAAAAAATGCAGCAATTAGTAATACTATGTTTTTTCGTGTGCAACGGTTGTGGTGCTACCAACAGGCCTCGAACTGATATTACTTTGTTTGAACCAGTGTTGACATATGAATCGGAGACATGGACCATTTCCAAGGCAGATGAAATCCCCCTGCTTATATTTCAATGAAGGATCCAGAGAAGAATATTCGGTGGCATTTGTGAAAATGCTGTTTGCAGAAGGAGGTACAACTATGAGGCATATCACAGATATCAATATATATTTGTTGGTAAAAACGTAGTATCTCTTATAAAAATAGGAAGACTAGGATGGGCAGGACATCTGGCAAGATCATAGCAGAACAACCCTCCTAGGAGAATCCTTATGTCACAAACTGTGGAAAGTAGAAGTAGGGGTAGGCCAAAACTCAGATAGAGGGATGGTGTAGATGAGGATAGTAGAGAAATAGGCGCAGCAAACTGGCAACAACTGACAATGGATAGAACTGACAAGCGTAATAGGGAAGGACGAGGCTGTTTTATAGGGCCGTAGTACCAATGATGATGATGACGATATTACTTTGTTTACTTCCAATAAAAATTCTAATAAATTTAGAGGTTTCGCTTGAAAAATCGGAAACTTGAGACGAAATATTGAGACATAAAACAAATAGAGTTTTATTTTCTACAGACTCTCAACTCTCATTACTACGTAGACTGTATGGGAGTGGCCTGCGCAATATCATACTTGTTATCCTTTGTACCATGTGCTAGGTCAGGGGCATCGAACTTGCAATGCCTCAAGGGCCAAAACTAAAACCTTTGATGTTGTCGCGGGCCATATAATAATTTTGTTACAAGTAATAACAAAATAAAGTGAGGTATAAAAATAATTAAAACAAAACAGAGTAATATTTATTGTATTGCTCAACAACTACATTTTTTTATAAACGGAAAATTTATTGACAACACTTTTTAATAATCAAGAAAAACATTGCAAAAGCAACGAAAAAGATATCCAATTAGTGTGAGGACTGTGGTCGATCGGCTTCATCCACCAATGAAAAAATTTTCTACAACTGAACTCCAGTTCAGTTGTAGACACTCTCATAAGATGACGTGAGGAAGGATCGGCAAGGTTGCTTCTGTTTTAATTTTTTATATATTTTATGGAGGAAAAGGCACTTTTACATGTATATGTGCTTTCGAACATTGAAGTCATTTTCAGTGCAAAATCGCGCAGGTTTGGGAATTTCTCCTTTGACAGTAATTTGAAAAATTCAGGTCCCTTTTCTTGTCTGGGGATTAGGAACATGTCTGCTTGAAGATCATCAATGGTTGCTCCAAGAGGGTTATTATAAAGTAGTACACTGCTTTTGAGACTTTCAATTTCTTCAAATCTTGTATTTAATTCATCAATAACAATTTGTGCAATGCAGGATGAAAACTCAATATTTGTCCAACCGTTGAATTCTCTGCTATTTGCAGACAGCTAGGGAAGTGTGTCAGGTTGTTCTTTTCCAAAGCACGTTTAAACATGTTCAGCTTATTTCGGAATCCGTTCATACCGATCAAATCTGAAACCGTCTGGTTTCTTTCTTGAAGACTCAAGTTTAACATGTTAAGATGATTAGTCAGATCTGTTGGAAAAGTTAACTGTCTTAAGAATTCTGGATCCTTAAACTTCCCTTCCAGTTTAATTACAGTGAATAATAATACAATGAATTGTTGGGCAAGTGACACCATTCTCTCGAACTTTTTTTACCTGTCATTGACGGGGCCCCGTCTGTTGCTATGGCTGAACATTTATCAAAGCCTCCAATTCGGTCAACTGTTTTCTTCACAGCCTCATAGATATCGTTTCCTTTTTGTTGTTCCATAAGGAGGACAAATATCAAATAACTCCTCTTTACTGGTAAAATCATCAAAAGTAGTGCACACAAATATTAACAGCTGACTAGCATCGGTTTAATTAGTGCTTTTATCCAAACAAAGTGAGAAATATGAACTTTCCTTAACCAGGCTAGACATAGATTTTTCTACTTGCTCACCCATAGCAACAATCCTTCTTTGTATGATTTGATATGAAAGTGGCACTAATTCCAATTTCTTCGCCATGTTAGAATCACCGAAAGCTTTGGCCATTTCAACAACACATTTTTTTATCAAATTGTCATCAGTGAAAGGTTTGTTGCCTTTGTCAGCTCAAGCGACATGGCATAAGATGCATGCAAAGAATGCGTTTGAGATTGTAATATTTTACTGAACATACCAGTTTGCTGTTTGAGCTTTTTCTTCAAATCTGCAACTAGTTATGTAATGTCTTCTCACATTATATTCTTTAGGCACTGAAACGACATTCATGCCACTAAGCACTGCAACTTTCCATTATTGTTAGCAATCAAGTAATCACTCTTCCAACTTTCTTTGTAAATTCTGTTCTCACTATTAATTTTCCGTTTTACTGGTTTTACACTCATTATTGTATAACAGGAATCAAAATAAAGAATTAATCAAGTTCACTGTTCACTAGCAACGT